CTCACACACACACACACACACACACACTCTCTCTCTCACACACACACACACACACACTCTCTCTCACACACACAAAAGAGTGTGATCTACTCTATTCTGTTCTATTGTGTCCGTGCGAATCTTTGTCTTCTTCACCGGGGGTCTGTGAGACAGATTCTCTGTAAAACTGCAGTGAAACAAACAAATACCTATTCTATTCTATTCTATTCTATTCTATTCTGCTCTTTGTTCTCATCTATTCTATTCTACTTTTTGATCTTTTCTATTCTGTCTGTTCTGTCCTACTCTTCGTTCTCGTCTATTCTATTCTACTTTTTGATATATTCTATTCTCGCTTCTCTATTCAATTCAATTCAGTTCTATTCAGTACACTGTAAAGTGATGTCTAACACGATGGAAGAGGCAAAATCTTTAAGAAACTACACCTGGAAGCAGATTTCACTTAATACATCTCTATTTTCTGTAGTTTTCCCGTTTCTCTTCAGCTGTAGTCTGACATTCTGATCTTCTGCTTCTGATGCTCGTGTTTTCCTCACTCAGATAAACGAAGAGAATCCCATAGCTAGAGCTGAGAGACTTACCGAGCAGCAGAAGCAGCTCCATCTTGAGAAGGTGAGGACGAGTCTGCGAGAGGAGCTCCGTGAGCAGGTGCGAGGCTCGCTCGGTCCCCCGCAGAGAGACAGATCTCGGTCCGAGCCGCGTCTGCAGGACACGCAGAGACCCGGAGCGCGCACGTGCACGCGACCGATGGCACGCGTCAGTCCTTCGGGCGTTTCACTCCAACAAGAACAAGGCAGGTATGGGTTTAGTTTAAAAAAGGAATCCTTATATGGGACACCGGGGTAAGTTGTCACATGATCTGTGCGTCTCAAAATAGAATCACTTTGAGCAATACGTTAAAACAATAAAGCACACTTACATTAAGACGAGTATTTTGTATTTTTTGGAAATTCATGAGAGGTATTTGTATGTCAGCTTTTACATTTGAACTTTTTCGTGAATTATTTCATAATTTAGTGTTTGAATATTCAGAGTCTGTGGATTCAGTGTCAGGTTTCACTGAGACAATTTACCCCGTAGAGCGTGACAAGAAGAGGAGAAAAAATCCTGGTCGATAACAATGTGAATGTTCAAATGCCTTTTTTGTAGACTTGTGTCTAAACAGAAATTGACTTAAAAAAAATAAAAAAATAAATAAAGCCCACTGTGACAACTAGCCCCAGTCTGCCCTACAATAAATGAGTAGTATTCAAAACACTGGCAAAACGTCTATAAAAATAAATAAATAAATAAATGTAATATAAAAATATATATATATATACTGTATAATCAACTGGGAATCAAACATTCCTAAAAAAGAGCTGCAGGTCAGTGGCAGAGCTCGAAAATGTTCCTACAGTAGGTCCTAAACATATACAGTCAAACCTAAATTTATTCAGACACCTTCAACATTTCTCACATTATCACAGTTTATTTGCTATAGTTTAGAACAAACATTCCTAAAAAAGAGCTGCAGGTCAGTGGCAGAGCTCGAAAATGTTCCTACAGTAGGTCCTAAACATATACAGTCAAACCTAAATTTATTCAGACACCTTCAACATTTCTCACATTATCACAGTTTATTCGCTATAGTTCAACCTATCTCATGAAAGTGCGTATAAATAGTACGCCAAATAAAACAAAACTCGTGGTATTGATACGCAGAAATGTACTTTGGCGTGCATATGCTACGCAATGGGAAGGATTAGGGTTGTGGGGTAGATGCGTATCATATGCACGCCAAAGTACATTTCTGCGTATCAATACCACGAGTTTTGTTTTATTTGGCGTACTATTTATACGCACTTTCATGAGACCGGGCTCTTTAGAAAGTGGTAATAAAATATGAGAAGAACTCAGAGTTAAACTGAGTCAGAACCAACTCATCTTGATAATCTCAGATAACTTTGATAGAAAGGTATGTAATGAATTCGTTTGAATAGCTGTCAGCTGTTACATTAAAGAACACAATGAGATAAAACCAATTTAGCTCAACTAATTACCAAGCACTGCTTCATTTAGTTCAGTCTGTGGTGTAAAAATATCACATTAGCAATTAAAGAAAAACACTTCAGAAACACATGCTCAGCTCAAAGTGTCTGAATAATTATTGCTCCCAAATTTTACTGTTAGTCCACTGTATGAAGAGTTTTTGGGTGTAATATGTCACAGTTTACTTTATTTTGCTCTCATCGCTTACATGAATGAACTGTAGTGTCCTGCACCCACTAGTAACAAAATATCAACAATTATATCTGCTGTCTGAATGATTTTGCTTTGACTGTATGTTATTCTCCAGCTGACATCATCTTCACAGGTGAGAGGA